AGCTGAGGCACCCTCCTTCCTACCGTCTGGCGAATGTCAATTCCCAGGGATCTAGTGTTGGTTGGAGCCAGATCAGCCACATAAGTCCTCACTCTCCTCCTACCATATAATGGGTGATAAATTCCCAATCCTGCCGGGCTTTGGACTGGAGATGCAAACCCATATATCCATCCCTCCTCTTACCATCTACTAGATGTCAGTTCCCAGTGAATCTGGTATTGGTTGGAGCTGGATGAAACACCTGTGTTTCCACAGGTGTAAGATTTAGTACCCTCCTCCTCCTACTGCAGACTGGACAAAAAAATTTCCAATGCTGCCAGGTTTTGGACTGGCAATGAACACCAGCCTGGGCCCTTCACCTTCCTATGGGATGTCAGTTCCCGGTGTATCTGGTGTTGGTTGTGTTAGAGATGCATGCCTGCAGAGGCAGGATCTTAGTATGAAAGCTCCTCTTCCTTGCCATTACCCAATTTTGAGATAAAAAGTAGAGGACTCTTCCTACCGTAGACCTGATGTACAATCTCAGATGCCACCAGGTTGTTGGTTGAGATCGAACTCCCATTTACAGTCTGTCACACCCTAGCACTATATCAAGGGATCCCATTATTTCTGTAATTTTGGTGACACATCACCAAAGTGTGAAGAGTATACCTGGCTCAAAAGTGGTATGGTCTCCCATGGATGTGTTGTTGTAATTCCTTCTCATTCCCCATGGTGTTTCTTGGGCACTTTCTAAAGGGAGATCATTTTCTCATCGGCCCTCCATCAGTTGAGTGTGGGATTCTAGCTTTTTGTGAGCAGGTGTAAGATATCACAAGTTAACATCTTCCTAAACTGAAAATATATTTTTAATAAATACTTACCTTCACTCACATTTCCCACCTGTCCTTCTCACTTCTGGTGTGATTTGGTGTCATCTGACCAATCTCAAAGTTGTTAACAGCTGCAAGATTAAAGAGCGTGCTAGTTATGATAGGGGTAGTGCCACACTCCTATTAGTGGAGGGTTGTTGCATAATCATTTGCATGTTAGTATGTAGAAATAAGTGGGAATATGAAGGCTAGTTGCAAGCAAAAAGTTGCACCAGTAAAGGGCAATATTAGTCGAGAAAACTTTCTGTGAGGGGAGGTAAGTATATATTGGAAATACGTATTCAGTTTAGAGAAATGTTAACTTCCAGTTATCCCAACTATCCCGCAATCAAAATATTGCAGTTTTGAATTTTTGATTAATTCAAGTTCGTTCAGATTAATCAAGTAGTGTCACAACTCAAAATCAATTAATCAAAAATAGGGTTTCTGATTATTCCAACTATCCAAGTAAATGAAATATTGCCATTATGTTTTTGTTGTTAAGCATTACAATGGGATATCTGTGCTCTGCCTACCATAGGTATTGTAAACCGATTTTTAGCATTGTATGTTTTTGGTTTTTTATCCATGTCATTAAAGAACAATGGATTAGTTTTTAATTGCTTTTTTTAGTCATCTCATGAAAGTAGTTGAATGTGAGTTGTTCACAATTTCAGCAATTAATCGATTAGCAAAATCAACTAATCAACTAGCTCTAGTAAAAGAACACATTAGAATGTTTTACATACAATGTAACACATTTTTTCCCTCCTTAACTAGGTTTGCGTGGTGAAGGATATTGTCATTACTGCAAGTCCAAATTACCCTCCAGTGAGTGTGTGGATAATGCGAAATCTACTAGGACAAAAGATAAAAGTAAAACTGTCTACTCATCTACATTCTTCATTAACTAACTTTCCACCTAAGATAAGAAGTCTTGAAGATGCTGTGACAGATTCTGACAGAAATGACTGCCAGTTGGTTATCACAGTAATATGGAAGGATGGTATGTTATTTGACATTAGCTTATAAAAAAAAAATAACCAAAATAATTGAAATTTAGTTCTAAATCTCTTGGAAAAAACTAACATTTTGAAAAATAGATCTCATACTAACAATAATATAACCTATGTGTTGAGAAATAACAGAAATACAGCATTAAACTAAAAGGTTTTCCAAATAATATGATAACAGCAGTTAGTACCAGTACTGTTTTAATAAATTCAGTTATTGCCCATTAGTTTCGAACTGTTAATAATGTTACATGGGAAGAAACTGTATAGAATAACTGATAGAAACATCTCTTTTATTTAAAGTAAATATTAAATAAAGATCAATCCATACAGAGAAAACTTGTTGAGTTGCTTTTCTATACCTGGCTTGAAAAGAACTTATTTTAGGTTCCCTATATTCTGTTTTATTGTGAATATTAGATATTGCTAGCTGTCCTAAACACTATTAGCAATGCAGAATTAAAGATGATAAGCAACTCAAGCTTACCTGGGAAATATGGTATAATGAGGATGTTTTAATGATTGAATTTAAATATGGGTACAATACTATGTCCAAGATAAGTGTCTAGTGTGGTGATTAAGAGTCAGTACATAGGTAATTGACTTCTTTTACCTAGCACATTTCACATGAATATTTTCATGTTTTCAAAGCATTAACTGTGCTGATACTCAGTGTTACAAAAATATGTGTATGTATCATAGAATAATCCATTTCAAGTGCCCTTGTCATTAAGGCATGTAATTAATTTTTATGTTTGCAAATCTGTCATTCCTGTTACTCAAGATTTTCCTTTATGATAATGTTAAGTGTTATGTTATACAAAACATGTAGCAAATGATAATTTGATTTTTTTTTTCCCCCTCTAAACCATTTATTCTATTTTTGAAGAAATTATTATAAAATGCTGTAAAGATGAATCACATATTCTTTGTTGGCTATAAAGTATACCTAATTTTTGTATATGAAACTAAATTATAGCTTTATATATTGAATTTTTATCAGTAGGATTTTTTAATTGTTCATCACTACAGTAATCCTTTTATTTGTATGAAGAAAAATTGTATGCACAAAAACTTATTAACTTTGATGTGTTGGAAATGTACATAGTATATTATCATGGTTTTCATGTTACTTGTGATCTTATTCTAGTTGAAAAAGATCCAGAACTGATGGTTAACCCAATCAAGCAGTCATCAATACTGGGTGAAGTAAATATTGTGAGGTATGTGCAGTTTTGCTGTTTGAAAATTATTCGTGTTTCTTTTCTATTATTCTATTTAAAAAAGTTCAAGAAGATCATGATATTAGCTGTTATAACCTACAATTTTAAACAGGCTCTTTCCAATGTTTTTGTTTTTAATAATGTTTTCTAGAAATTAAGTAATATTTTTAAATATTATAGCATTACTGTATTTCAAATACAATTTTTTTTCAAGTTTAAAACATTCTATAAAAATATAATATTTTAGAGGTAAGATTTCAGGATCATGGAAATGGCACAAGTAGAAGATTATGACACAGTATATGATTTTTAACCAATGAAATTACTCACCAATTCTCAGTTTTAGAAGAACATAAACCCTGCACAGGCAAACCTTTGTTGTTTTTTTTATGTTTTCTTTACAACATATGCTCAAACTATAAGAGATCCAAGATCTTTATTTGCACAGTTTTATCACAAGGTATAAAGGCTAGGCCATAATGTTTAGTAATTGTTAAATTGCTGCTTATCACTTGTTATCAATTAATATTTAGAATAAATAAACATATATCAGTTCTTGTATGAAAATATTTAATGTACTTTACTAAAAAGGTTTGAATGGCTGTTTTTATTTAAAACTTAAGTTGAATTTTCTTCCTGTTACCATGGTACACACAAGTAAGTTAAAAATTGAAGGGCTTGACCATTGTTGCTTAGATGCTTTCAGAAGCAGAAAATAAACAAATGTTTGTTACCAGGTGCATATTCAAAACAGCTAAATCATTTGTTGCTAACATGAAAATGCATACCGACCATCTTACTGATCAGGGTTTTTAGGTGATTCACCCATAATTATAATTAATTTTATATTTTTATTGCTCTTTTTTTTACTTATCTTCAGTTTAGTGTATGTGATGGAGGCAAGTGTTAAAAACTGTACATAGTAAAAAGTGGCACTGTTGCAGTAATTAATTAATTGACAAATTACTTAATTTTACACATTATACCATCACTGATTCTCGGTCTGTTACATCGTCAGTTTGTAAATATTTGAATATAATAATGGGTTACTAAAGCAATAATACTGTATTATAAAATTATATTGTCACTACCAAGTACATGCTAATATCATACTACTGCTGTGTCAACATTGCACCACTGCATAAGATCAGAGAGTAGTAATTTATTTAGCACAAATTTTATGAACGATAAAGTAGTTAATTAAATAATACCATTTTTAGAGTGAGTTGTAAGGATTTCTATTCGTTAAGTGTAACTTTATCATCTAATTCAACTGAAAAAAGTATTATGTCAAAAGTTTAAGCCACCATATTTTTTAACCTTTGGTGTTAATTATGTAATCAGTTAACCACAAGTGTGGGTGTTTGACTGTCATCTTTGACTGTCATCAGTTTGGAGCCCATCTGGGTTTTATAGCCATGTGTCTTGCAGCCCAAATCAGTATTTTATAGTTTACTGATTTCCTGATTATTTAAAATAGAAATTCCCACTTTTAAAACAAAGTTCTGTGCATTGAACGCCATGTTCCATGTGTAATATACTATTTTAAAAAATAATGACATAAATATACAAGAAACACAAGTGTGTGTGTGTGAAATCAACTTTTTTTTGAATGAGAAACATTTATTAAACAGAAATATATTTAACAATATAAGGAAATTGTAAAAGTAACTGAATAAAAAAATGTGTGATTTTAAATTAATAATTTAAATTGGCAAATGAAGTTGTCATAAGTTTTCCATGTCTTGAATGTATTTTCTTTTCCATTTCAGTTGCATTAGTAATTCAGTAATGTTCCAATATAACAATCCATCCCTGTATTTGTTTTCTCACCAAAGGTATCTGGGGAGATTTGTTACTCCAGGTTATGATGATGGAGATCCCATTACTGCCACAGAAATAGATTTCTTTTTGGAAGTCATTCATTCATCTTTCATCAACGGAAACAATAAGGAGAAACAGGGAGTACTTAAAACGGCAAATGTGAAATTAGGAAAACAAACCTTCCTAGTAGGATCAGAACTTACAATTGCCGATATCATGCTATGGAGTGTTATTGTCCAAAATAAAATGGAACATGACCTTCCTAGCAATGTGAAGAAATGGTTTAAAAGTTTGTGTAATAATGTAATCTTTTCAAATCTTCCTGAAGCATTTTATTCATAATGGGAAGTAAAATCAAACATTATTTAAGGAAATGTGAAAAATATTAATATCGGAGAAGGCTCTAGGACAATTTTCTGTTCTTTGCTAAAGTTATATGAAGCTTTCTAAGGTAAATAAAAGTTAATAAGCAAGTTTAGCATGGTAAATGCGTATGATTTTATTTTTCTTAAAGAAATATTTAAGCTGCATGATAATTATTAAGATTTGTTTTCCATAAAAACACTTGGATGCAAAAACAATACATGAAACCCTTGTAATGACCTGAATGAGGAAAAAAACTCGTTATATTAATTTCCAAGAAAAATTCTGTTTATAGTTCCTAAAATGTTGTGGAAATTTAATTATTTATCTACATAAACCAACCACCAAAGATTAATATTTCTCAGCTACTTTCGTATTTCAAAAAAGAAAAAATCCCAAAGCTATAAAAAATTAAGTATCCTAATTATACCTATGTTCTAAAATTAATATGTTTATTAATCTTTGTGTTAAGATATCTACTTGAGTTCATCTTCTAAACGTGAAAAGTTCTAAATGAACCAGTATTTGGCCTGGGAATGCAAGCCACAGACCTTCAGATTCACAGTAAAGCACACTAACCTCTAAACCAAGCAGGATTTATGCACACTAACCTCTAAACCATGCAGGATTTATGTTCATTTGCAGAACTCTGTGGCACAAGGAAATTGAGTTAATATAGGAGAGTTCTGAGTAGTAGAAAGAAAGGGGTGAAAGCTAAATTCTCTATTTGTTTTATGATTAAATAAGGAATGGATAAGTTAGGCTAATATGGGAGAGTTCTTACTAATAGAAAGAAAGGGTGAAAGCTAAATTCTATTTGTTTTATGATTAAATAAGGAATGGATAAGTTAGGCTAATATGGGAGAGTTCTTACTAATAGAAAGAAAAGGGTGAAAGCTAACTTCTCTATTTGTTTTATGATTAAATAAGGAATGGATAAGTTAGGCTAATATGGGAGAGTTCTTACTAATAGAAAGAAAGGGTGAAAGCTAAATTCTCTATTTCTTTTATGATTAAAGAAGGAATGGATAAGTTAGGCTAATATGGGAGAGTTCTTACTAATAGAAAGAAAAGGATGAAAGCTAAATT